CACCCTGATGTGCTACGCATTCTCCAACGCGCCTAGGCATGCTTCTGATCAGGTGGTCAATGTCCTCCTGTGGTATCTCATTCCAGGCAACCACCAACTCCTCTCAAAGTGCTTCTACAGTCTGAGGAGGACGTTGCAAATTGAGCAATCTCCTACCCATCATATCCCACACGTGCTCAATTGGGGATAAGTCGGGAGATCTTGGTGGCCATGGTAACAATGTGACATCATTATGTTGAAAGAAGTCTATTGTGACTCTTGCAACATGTGGTCGGGCATTATCTTGTTGGAAAGTTGGATCTGCCAGGGTGTCAAGATGGGGTTCTAGAACTTCGTGGATATAACGCTGCGCGTTCATATTACCTCTGATGAAGATTAAAGGTGACCTGGAACCATAAGCTATAGCACCCCAAACCATAACTCCAACAGTGTGATGAACATGTCTTTCAAACAAAAAACTGTGGATTCCTCCTTTTACCACGTCGCCTTCTAACCCTGGCACGACCATCGTGCATGCCTAAACAAAATCGAGACTCGTCACTAAAGACAATACTGTTCCATTCCTGATCCAGAGTGACCGTTGTCTGCACCACTCAAGGCGATTACGTCGGTGTTCTCGAGTTAAAGGGAGGACCCAGTGTGGCCGGTATGAAAACAAGCCAAAACATCTCATTCGTCGGTAAAAACTTCGCATGCCAATATAGGTCTTCCGTGTTCTGCAAACCATTCATTTGCAATGGACCTGGTAGTGGAGAAACGGTCCCTTAAAGGCCAATAATCTTAGGCGGCGATCTTCACGGTCTGTTGTTCTACGGCGGCGTCCAGTGCCCCTTGCTCTTTGCGTACGGCCTTCTCGAATCCATGCCTGACAACACCTAACCACAGCGTCTACACTTCTTTGCACTCTAACTGCAATTGCCCGAAAAGAAAGTCCAGCTTCCCGAAGTCCCACTATACGGCCCCTATCAAACTCACTAAGTTGACGAAATCGTACAGGTCTCCGTACTCTAGGCATCGTAACCGATCGTAAAGGATGTCAAGAACCAAAATCCGCCAACGTTGATTCTTTACTCTGCGGCTGAAATATTCATTTTTAGAGCGTTAGTGAATTAAAAAAAAGCATGTCCAACTGATAAGGCTGAAAATTTGTTCACTTGTTATTTACAGTATGATAAATACATTCTCCAACTTTTATTAAAATAAAACCATTTAAATTGGGTGTTCGGATTTATATGTCACTTTGTATAGTTTGACATGCAGAGGTCGAAGATTCATCGTACCTTAGCGAACATACCTAATCACAATTTGATTTCGCCTCTTCAAACGACTTAACTCACCCCTGGTCTTTGAAACCTCCAACGAAGGCGTAGGAGGTTAAGAGTCAATCTACTTGATGCTATTTTTTGTTATACATGTTCGTAGCTATCCTTTTTCTCAGAGGAGCGAACATAATCCTTTATGACATTGTTGCGTGGGAGGTGGAGTCAACCATTTTTTTCTGATATGTTTTCCGCTTGATGTTCTCGTAGCTCTATTTTCCGCCCGGAAAAAACGAAAGTGTATAACAACAGGCCGTGCATAAAAATCATCCTCCGGCCTAATTACAGTGACATAACGAGCGGCGTCGTCGGGCGGCGCGTATCATCACAAACGCGACTGGGTGCACCAGATAGGGTGCAACGTCCTCGGCCCGGAGGGGCGAGGGGTGAGACTAGGGGTAAGTGGGTCAATCGATGGAACCACCCACTGCGGGCCGCGGGATAACGCTGTATCATCATCCCGAATACTCCCAGAACAAAGATCCTGCGTGAAATTGGTCGAGATATCAACGAGGTTGATAGCAATAACAATGGAATTGTCTGTGGGGTTGATCCGAAAAAATCCGACCTTTTGGCGGATGAGAATTCTTCGTTGGAACTTATACTTAGTCTAATAAGAAAACGGTAGCGATGCTTGCATTAGTCCGAATAGTTATAGGACAAAGATTCTGCTTGGAATGGATGGGTCGAGATATCAAGGGGAGTGATAGTAATAGCAATAGGATTACTGGACAACAAATTTTAGTTTTTAATTGTATCTTGTGGGAAAAGTGCACTTCTTTGTTAATTTTGGGGCGCTGAATCCAAAAATGACAATGAAATAAAAAAATTAGTTGCGGTTTAGAAAAAAACTTTTTTTTTAAGGATATATTAAAAAAAGTAACAAGATTCATATACTTATAAGAATCACTATATGCGCTGTCTTTTTGCTGTTCTTTTATGGATCGTTTCTGGAGCATCTCTACCAAGAGTCCAACAGTAGTCTGCAAGCATGGAAGGATTCCACTTTCCCTGGTACCTTTTTTCCATTGTTGAAATATCCTGATGAAAACGTTCGCCGTGCTCATCACTTACGGCTCCGCAATTGTCAGGAAAAAAGTCCAGGTGTGAGTGTAGGAAATGTATCTTAAGAGACATATTACAGCCCATCTTTTGATACGATGACAGCATATTTTTGACAAGGGTTTTATAGTTGTCAGCTTTTCTATTTCCCAAGAAATTAGTGACCACCAGACGGAAATCATTCCAAGCAGTTTTTTCAATACCTGTTAAAGTGTTTTCAAACTGTGTATCTTTCAAAATATTTCGAATCTGTGGCCCAACAAAAATACCTTCTTTAACCTTTGCCTCACTTAGTCTTGGAAATTTCTGACGCAGGTATTGAAAAGCTGACCCATCTCTATCTAATGCCTTGACAAAGTTTTTCATTAGGCCCAACTTGATATGCAGTGGTGGTAATAAATTTTTTTCGAATCTACTAATGGCATATGCTGTACATTTTTTTGACCTGGCTCTAGGAATTGACGAACAGGCCAGTTTTGTCTGGTGTAATGAAGTGCCTTTGCCCGACTGTCCCATTCACACAAAAAACAGCAAAACTTTGTGTAGCCTAGCTGCAGCCCAAGTAAAAGTGCAACAACTTTCAAATCGCCACAAATATGCCATTGGTGCTCATCGTATTTTATGCATGTCAATAGGTACTTCATATTGTCATATGATTCTTTCATGTGAACTGCATACCCTACAGGAAGAGATGGTAAAATATTTCCAATATGCAATAACACTGCCTTTAAACTCAATGTTGAACTGTCTATAAACAATCTCCATTCTTCTGGGTTATAGTTTATATTTAAAGCCGCCAGTAAGCCGTTAATGTTACTGCAGAAAACCAAGTTATTCTCCATATTGAAAAATGGTTGTGGTGTTTACGAAAAACACATACCGAAACATCGTCTTCTAACAAGTTCCACTGCTGCAGTCTTGATCCAAGTAACTCTGCCTTACATTTTGGAAGTTCTAAATCTCTTACAAGATCATTTAATTCTGACTGTGTTATTTTGTGCGGTTGGTGGCATGACGTGCTCGGTATAAAATCAGGATCTCTTGACGTTGATGGCATATCTTCTTCCTGACGAATCACTCGATCGCCATGATCTGATTCGTTTTCTGATTCGCAAGTGTAGGATTCTGGGGGTTTTGGAATAGGATTTTCGTCACTGTGAGGCACAGGTCTCATCGCAGATGGTATGTTTGGGTAGTTAATAACCGATTTTTTTTCTTGGACATACCTGTGGCTTGTCCAACACAAGGTACCATGCAAAAGTAACAATCATTAATATGATTTGTAGGCTCTCTCCAAACCATTGGGACAGCAAAGCGCATAGACCGTTTTTTGCCATTTAACCAGCTCCTCAGACTTGAAGCACATGTATTACAGCAGATGTGGGGTGCCCACTGTTTGTCTTGATCACCTAGTTTACAACCGAAATAAAGCTGATATGCCTTTGTTATTAGTGGAGTAATAGACCGTCTCTGAGACGCAAAAGTCACATCACCACACACGTAACAAAACTGATCTGGATTGTTTACACACTTTCGAGACATCTTGCATGAACGCTGTCAGCCAACTGAGGAAAAAATGGCTAATATAAAACAATATAATGTACACGTATGTATAACGTAACACAATCATGCCGATTACATCATCTTTCCTTGCCGAATATAAAAATGTAGCACGTGCATTCTTGTGAATTACAGTATATTAACACTGTCACAGCAGGAACACATATAATTACCGTATCTCTAAAACTTGAACTAATATTGAAAAAATAAGTTTCATTCCGGTTTTAGCACATTAAAAATAGTAATATTTGTTGATTTTATTTAGGATATTTTTTGGCTGTTGATCAGTGATCTGTGGGGATGAGGTCTATTCAAAAAAATCTGATCAATTTTGTGATATTGATATTTTTATCTGCTGAAATAATAGAAGTGCTTGATTGTGTCAGTATTTGCACCAATTACTTGATTTGTTTTTCTTGGGCAGTTTAGAGTCTTAATCCTTAAGCTTGCTTTATTTATTATTTTTAATAGCACTAGATTATATAATATACGCCTACTTACTTAAAAATAAATATGCTTATCCATAAACACCTAATATC